TAATTTTTTACTTGTAATTTTGAATAACTTGATCCCAAATAAACAAGGGCAGGACAGCCGAATTAGAAAAAAAAAATTATTATAATTTTAGAAATAGTATCATAATTTACTAAATTTAGAATGTATATATAATAAAAATATTATAAATTATTATATAATATAATAAAAATAATATTTTTATATTTATTTTAGACAATTTCTATTTATATATAGGTGTTTATATATGGACAATATAAAATCTAACTAATATCTTAAAATTTTGATTATGAAACCACTTTTTGGCTTCTAATAAAAAAAATTTTTTATAAAATTTTAGTATAAATTATATTTCTTCTCAATTCCAAACCAACTCTTACTCTAACTATAAGCAAGAGTTTAAGGTAAGGTATACAAATTTCTAATTTCATATAAAATAGATTGTAGATTAACTTTGTATAACCAATTTTATATGATATCATATGATTTAATGTAAACATTATATGATTTGACCAATCAAAATTAGCAATTTTTTGTGTAATATCAGAAAAACATAAAGGCTTCCCAAAAAACTTTGGTAATATATAAAGTAGAATTTTCTTGAATAAAAGAAGTTTCGAAACTATTATTACTATAAATAGAAGTTCTTGTCTGCATATTACGAAATTTTGGTAAAAATTTGTTAAAGCATTAAAAAGTTTTGCTTGTGGTAAATTTTTACTTTCTATATAAAAATCTGTGATATCATATAGATTATATGAAAAATAATCTACGTACATCCTATCCTTAATTTTTTGTTTGTAAATTTGCATGTTATACAATTTGCAGTGATATATGTTTTAACTGTCCAAAAGCTTTTTTGGTACTATCCAACGTCCAAGTGTTCAAGTGTTTACAAGTGTCTAAAGCATATCTAAGCTTTAATAATTAATAAATTTGTTTAACAAATATATAATTATATATTTTTTTAGATGCTGAACATATTTTACTTAAAAAATAATATAGGTTATCTTAATAAAATTTTGAGTAATTTTAATTTATTTAATTGTCCAAAATTGTCCAAAGTGTCCAAACTTACTGTCCACAACTGTCCTGTAACAACACTGCAATTTGCAAACTACAGATTAATACCTGTGTATAAACATCTGTATAAATTAAGAAATTTTCTTTATTTTAATAGAGATTTATAATTTACATACATATATTAAACTTAATACAATTTTTGAAAAGTGCTGGAAAAAGCTATATCATTCAATAATAAAAGTTGTTTATCTTCTTGATCTACAACTTGTTAAATAATACTTACTACCTTCAAGAATTACAACAATTTCATTATTTATTACAAATATTATTCAGATAACTTAATAAAAATTTGAAATTAATTAATACAATATAAAGCACAAGATAAAATTTTTAATAATCTATTAATTTGAAATTTACTATTAAAACTTGCACCAACTATATGGTAAAGAGGCAACTATAGTTTGTCACACATAATTTATATCAAGTAGCAATTCGAGGTTTAAATATTTCTATATTTTCAGCTACTTCTGAACAGAATTGGTCTGTATTTGCAACTATTTATAACAAAAAAATAAACTTACATCAGAACATATTTTGAAATTAGTATATATTTATTCTAATTATCAATTCTATGTATCTAAAATTAAACAGCAAAACAAAAAAACTCTGAGTTATTAAATTTAAAAAAACAATAAGCAATGAAAATTAAAAATTTTTTTTTATATATCATCGCAATGTCGCAGAAGGGTAGATTTTTATTAAGTATTTTAGTAGTATATTCTTAGTTAACGAAAATAACCACACATACAACTTTTGGTTATCTAATTTAAGTAGTCTGCTTGAAGGTTCTATACTATATACCATACCTGTAACCTAACTAGGAGATTATCTATTTAAACTCTCTGATGTCTCCTGTTCTGCACCACCACTATAATCACACCAATTTATAACCTCGTGCTGCTTCTTATTGAAGACCACTCAGATCGACATCTGCTATACTACTTGTGTTCTAATTCTATAGATAACCTAGTAGAGTTCTCATACTACCAGGTTGCCCTAGAGAGGGTGTAGTATATACTCACCTACTTTTTCTATGTCTTATGCATTTTTAGATTAGACTATGAATACTATCTATAGCAGCTGAAACCACCACTAGTAGTCAGGACGAACCATTAAACCACATAATTCTGGTATTCGGTATTCTTGCAAAGTTCATTCTGATCCCAATACCTACATCAAGCCAGTCCTTATACCAATCTCTTTCCAACTACTAAACTAGTTAACTCAGACAGGTCATTATATCTAGACTTTAAGTGTCTTCTGGTTTTACTTCTCTTGGTTTTTAATTTCATAGCATAGAACCTTTTTCTTCAATATGACTCTAGCAGCCAGGTTGGTGGATTCTTTTTGCTTCAGGATTTTTGTCTGGTTCTTTAGTTTCCAGTTTCTGACTTTTTCGCAGTATTGTCAAAGATCTTCACTACCTTCTTACTTGGGTCTTGCCAAATAGTTTTCAATTATTCCAGTTTCTTAGATTTAGATCAGCTAAGAGCTTCTATTTTGAGATGATAATATCAAGATTACAAGTAATATACCCAACCAATCGTCAAATAATTGTTACCAGTCGATTCAAGCTCAGTTGTGTCCGAATTATACGGTGTTATGCCATACGTTGCTCCTGAAGTATTACAGGGACATCCATTTACCAACGCTGCCGACATATTTAGTCTGGCAATGATTATGTGGGAATTGTCTTCAGGGAAACCGCCATTCTGTGATCGTGCGCATGATCATGATCTTGTCCTTGATATTTATAACGGCGTTCGTCCAGAAATTATTCCGGGAACACCAAAATGTTATGTTGAGTTGATGGAAAGCTGTTGGAAAATGAATGAATTCGAACGACCCACCGTTCAAATGGTTGCCCATATTTTATTTTCATGGACAAAAGAACTTTATAATATAAAAACTGGTGATTTTTATCAACAATTCAAAGAAGCTGATGAAAATAGTCACATAGAAAGTCCGATAATTTCAATACATCCTCAGGCAATTTACACTAGTCGTCCTCTTAGGCAATTCACTAGACACATTACATTACCATATGATGAATCGTTTGAGTCTAATAGTTTGTGCGAAAATTCTAAGCATGATTCAACAGGTAGATGTTTAAAACTTTAAATATTTCTGTCACACAATGTTAATGACTAATTTTTTTTGATTTCAATGAAGGTCCACTGATTCAAAGCGAGGATATTTAAGATTACAAATAGGATTATTACTGCCTCAAAGTTATCCCATTAAGAATTTTGTTTTATTCTTGAAGCGCGTTAAGTTTACGAATTTATATCATTGATTTATATACAAATATTTCTTTGAACATTCTTTATATATATATATTTAAATTTAGGCACAAAATTTGTATTTTATTACAATTGTATTTTTAATATTAGCTTTGTTTAAAAAAAATATAAAAAATGTATTTATATTAAAAAACATATGGTGTGCCTGGTGCTGCTGCCACTTGCCTGAAATTGCTACTTTAGGCACCTAAAGCTGCACTTGACCGGAATTACTACTTAATACGCAAGATCTAATTTCAGAGATTACCACTAAATTTTGACAGGTATGACTTCAGGTGCCTAAAGCAGCAACTTCAGTCAAGTAGCAACTTCAGGCACAACATATACATATTCTATTAATTTATGTGAATAGTAATTATTTTAAAGCATTTTTAAGTTGTGTTTTTTATTTATTTATTTATTTTTTTTTTGTATTTAATATATATCGAGATACATTCATTTACTGCTAACAGACAGAATGGTTCTAACAAACAGGTTACAATTAGGTTCTTGTTCTTTTATAAACTCAATAGGTTTAGAATGCTTAACTATTCTTGGAGGGAAACCATTAGAGCAGTTTGTATGCACCTTATATATGCTTACCAGTACTGTATTTAGTCTACGTATCTTTTGTGTTTATACTTTCAATTTAGTTAGCTATTATTATTAATATATCTTGTAATTAGATTGGCATTGCTTTTAAACCATTTTTATAAAAATATTAAGATATATGTTAATTTTAACAAAATCATTTACATATATATTGTTAAACTTTTTATAATGTAAATAAAAATTGTATAGAATATTTAATTAAATAAAATCAGTTTTCATATATTTACATCATTTGTCAAAGTTTTTTCTCTTTCTGTAATTAATTATAATAAAAATTTTTATTTGAAAATTTTTATAATATATGCTTAATAAATAGAAAAATGCTATTTATACCGGGTTATTGATTACCTTTCTCTATTTTATAAGAATTTTTAGTTTTTTATTATAGTAAAATCTAAAGTTAAAATGCATTTTAATACTAAAATAAATACTAGATATAATAGTTTAAATTTAAATTATACGAAGGTTTTTTAAAATTCTAAGCATTCTTATTTAATACTATATATTTAATTTTGTTTTTAGTTAATTTATTATAATATAGTATTCCATATATCAATAACTTTTAGTGTAATTATAAATGTTTTAAAAAATATATATTTATAATTATTATAAGAAATTTGATTTATTATAATTTAATTAACTAATTATTATTATTTTTTTTGTTAATTAGCCTTTTTGGGACTAAGGTTTTTATTCAAGTTATAGGTGGAGAGGTTCACAGTGAAACCCCTCTATTACATTAGAAAATACAACTAACCATATATATAACTTTTGGTTGTCTATTTAAATAGTCTGCATATAGATAACTATATACTATAGGTTTTATACTAGCTGCTATATCTATAAGAGGAGAGACAGAAATCAGCTAATTTTTTAGGAGAGTAGAGGTTTGTGATTCGATCAGGTCTTATATTTTGTAGTTAAATTTTAATTGGTTAATATTTGAATCAGGTGAAGAGTGGAAAGTATAGCCTCTTAGTAACTTGAAATCACCTGATTTTTGTCCCACTCCTAATCTGACTAGGGGATTACCTATTTAAACCCTCTGTGATGCAACCCACTTGTGTTACTAGTACATCTCCATTATATTTGTTAGTCAAGAAGTCTCAGATGCTTTCCTATATCCTTAGAACTAATTTATTCTCAAGACATCATTGTTAGAGCTTTTCATACCCAAAATCTGGCTAATCTAGACTATGGTAACTTATACTGAATCTGAAGACAAGTATTTGCGAACTAATGCAGCTACTGCTACTACTTCTGCCTTTGTAAAGTTTATACCAACCTTAGCACTTACTATATGAACGATCAGGACCCTGAAATATATTTTGAGAGGTAAGATTTTACAAAAATTACTAAATATAAAAAGATCTACAAGAAAAAGTGCAAAAATAAGCAAACTAATTACTATAAATAGAAATAATCTGTACAAAAAAAGTCAAAAATAAGCAAACTCTAAACTGACCTATCTATATATATTTCAGGGTCCTGGACTATTTACCATTTTTCTGATTTCTCTAACTTCTAATTCAAATAGCTTAAAAGAGTGAACCCTTCTGCTGATTTTTACTGGTGGTCTGATTGATATAGTATCTTGCCGAACACCTCAGTTTTGTTCAGTTTTCTAGTTCCTTAATTAATAATCTTTTACATAGCACTGTAAAAAGTCTGCACTACCTTTTTACTCAGGACTAGATATGTACCTTGCACAAGGTCAAACTAGTATATATTCACAACCTCATGCAAAGTTACATTGTATGATTTCATATAATTATATGTAAGGTATATAAAAATATTATTTTAAAATATTTAAGTCTGTAATAAAAAGCATAAGACATTATTTCTATACCTATAGCTAATTAAATTTTTAAATATTTACTATCCCTTAAACTGTAAGCTTT